CTCTCTCTGGATTTTATAGTGATAATATTAAATGCAGCAGGAGCGCTGGTTAAATAAGCAGGAGAGGACAGAGCTGACTAGTTTGGTGTTCATTTCTTTGTCAGCTGCCATTGGAATAGTGTTCAGATTAATGTGATTACTCTTTGCAGTGGCTGCAAGTTCATAGACCAACTGTGCACTTGTATCAAAGTCATTAGAATGATTTTAGTCCAGGTTTCCTACCAGAATTATTTATATAAAATGCATTTGAAATTCTATACTGGCCATTTACACGTGAGGATTTCTATTTCAGGAAGCTTTGGAAATAGCCGGGATCTTCAACTGCACCCTTTCCAAAAGATACAAGATCCTTTTAACATTTAATGATGACTGAGAAGGTGCTTAAAAATAACTTAGAAGCACAAAACACATTAGTGTGGTCCCTACCAGTTACAGGACTGGACTAACAGTTAAATTTTGGATTCTATTTGCTTTTCTTGTCCTTTCTTGCTTCATGACCTCAGGTGAATTGCCTGGTTTCCCTTGACAAATGAGCTTAATACTTATCTATTGTCCATATTTATGTTATTACATTTAGGAAGTGATAGAATCTGAATTCATCTTCTTGAGGAAAAAACTGTAAAACTCTGTGGTGATCAGGTGGTATAAAATATACCCTTCTACACGACTGCACATGGTATTATCCACTGCATAATTTGTTGGGTATCAAGTCCATTTCACATGCAAAAGGTCCCTAGTTAATGATGGTATAAGTTCTTTTGGGAGGGATTATGCTTACATATATATTTTTACAATATTCAATATAATAGCAAGCTAATCTGGACTGTATCATTTTTGCTTTGCTACAATTTATACAATATAGGTAATTAATTAGTCTGATTCTCCTTCATACTGCTAAATGGAACATGAACAGCTCATAATGGGCAGCAGTAAATAGACATTTTTATGTATACAGGTACCCTGTGTGGTGAAGGGGCCGTGCAGGAGACAAGGTACTGAGCAAAACAGCCCTACATAAAACCAGGCTTTCATTTAAAGGAAGAAAAATGTCACTGAAAGCTGCAAGATTATTAGCATTACTATGCATGAGGAGTAGTCAAAGAAGATGTTACAAGAGGAAGAGAGACATTATTCAAGTGTCTAGGAAGATGGACCATCATCAGCAGTGGAGAGAGAAAAGGCTTTCAAAGGAATAGCATACCATTTCAAACATTAAATTATAAGGGGACTGAAGCTTTAAAAGGTATGTTGGAGTTCCTGCATTATTTATAATTTGAGATTGCCTTTCCCCATAGATGCTTGAGTTTTGTTCCATTCATACAGAAAAGTCCTTCTCAGCTTCTGGACACTGAGCCAGCTCTAAGTTTTGGGATATGATTTATTCTGAGAAGGCACTGATTACCTGCAATGCTGCAGTGGGTTGAAGCTGCTGCTTAAAAAGGTTGGGGAAGTGAGAAAAATTTGGCTACCATTACTCTGGAACTTGGGAATGCTGGGCTTGGAATTAATTATTATTTTGTATTTTTATTGCATCCATAACTAGCAGTTCCAGGCACTGACAGGATTTCACAGTGCTGGTTGCTGTCCTTTCCTCAACACAATTTAAGGTCTTCTGGACACCTTTTTTGAACCTAGTGCAGAGCTGCACTGACAGTGCAATCATTCAGAGTGCAGAAGCTTACACTAGGAAAAAAACCTGCAAAAATATAGCTCATATCAGTTGCCTGAGCAAAAGAAGCTGTATTGGCAAAAAGAAACTTTTTTTCCCCCTTTTGCTCATATTATAGCTGTGTCTACGTTAGGGCTTTTGCTAGCATAGCTGAAAAAAAATCATACTCCTAGCTGACAGGGATATGCTGACAATTTTTTTAAATAGATGATGGATCAGTGTGTGTTTGGAGGGGGGGAGGGGTGAACCTGGTTTAAAATAGAAGTTTCTAAAATTGGTTTGCACAGATACCCTTAAAATGGCAAGTACTACCCTTGCCAATAGCCTCCTGCTTCCTGGCCCTCCTGTCCTTCTCATCCAGGCTCAGACCCCAGCCCTGTATTCCCCTTCCCTTCACCCACACCCTGGTGTGTCCAGCTGGGAACTCTTGCCTGCTGTCCTTCAGTTCTCCTGCCTGGCTTCTGCCCTGGCATCATCCCACCTCCATGACCCTGCCCTCCCCTTTCCTGCAGGCAGACACCTTCACTGAAGCTCCAGTCTAACCCCTCTGCTCCCTGAAGTGTTTCTTACCTTCCTCCCAAGGCCTCCATCGGGTGTGAAGGCTCAGGCTTTGCATACAAACAGAAGTCCTCCAAATACTCTTTGCCATTGCAAAATGCTTCATTTCCTTTGGCCAAACTGCACACTGAGTCAAAGAGAGAGCAGAGCGATTCTCATTTCTAACAGGGAGGCAGAGACTTTCCAGAACATCTGGAGAATACTTGGAGGAAGAGATGGGCTGTGATAAGATCACAGGACTAGAGGCATGAAGGTTGGTTCTGTTGCTGCTTGCCCTGACCAGACAATTACTATGTTTCCCTTGTTCCATCAGCTCAGGTTGGTTGATTGGTTGGTCCAAATGGCATATAAAGGTGTCATATCCACTAGCTCCTGGGGACGGTATTGATTCCAAAGCTAATCTGATCTTTCTGTGTCATTTTTGGACTAAAATTACTGCTTTGGTGCATCAGATCCCCTGTGTATAAAATGAGACTTCACAGTCATAAGGTATGAACCTTAATTTAATCAAACTGGAAATGGGGTGAGGTCCTGTGGTGGTTGAATCTGCTGAAGTGCAAGGAGTAGGGATTAGCTGGTCCCCAGACGACTATCATGCCTTTGAAAGCACAATTTTGTGAAAATAAGTTGCTAAATAACCTGCAGATGTTGTGAGGGAGTAAGGGGTCAGAGGCAAGCAGGCTCCTGAGCAGACAGCAGCCTGGGCAAACGGGTCCTGGAACCACCCACAAGTGTCAGTGTGCATAGCCAGCACCCCAGAGTCCTTACTGTGGTTATTGCAGGTAATTCATAGGTTATACATCTGGAAATGAGGCATTTTTTTAAAAGAGCAATGAGAAGACTTGTTTTAATTTCTTTTCGAATATGAAAGTTTAAGTACTTAAATAGATTTTAACTAAGTAACCAAGCCCATTGGTATCAATTATTTGTTCAGAGTTTAAACTGACATAAGTATGTTAATTGATACTGCACTAACTAACTATAGGTATCTTCCTAAGTGCCAATTATCTGCCTCAACATTCCCCACAATTTAAGTTTGTTAGTAAGAAGCTAATTACACTAGTTTATTGCTGATGGAATTACATGAAGAGTAGATTTCACTCTTACATACTTATTAGACCTCAATAAGTGATCCTTAGCAGTCTGTTGCTATTCAATTAACAAGTAATAACTTACTTAATGAATCTAATTGAAATGCTTATTTCAGTCAGGCACCTAACATAAAGTGCTTTACTTTGAGCACTTTTTTGAGTGCTAGTCTTGTTTACTTAACAAGAACAAAATGGTGCCACTGAGGAAAACTCAGGACTGGGATGAGACCTGAACCACTGTTGGCAGAGCCCTGCCAAACATAACCAGAAGTAATCTGCCAGGTGATTTCTGTTCTACTGAAATATCATGGGAATAAACCAAGATTTTTGTCTCTCTAAGGGTTTAAATCCACGGAGAGGATTCTGCAGCATGAAATTCTCCTAACACGTTGGCTCTGCCTCCTGTGCTGGATGTAAACACACTGGCTGCTCTGCTGGGAGTGCACAGCTCCGCTGCTCTGCTGTGGGCGCTGTCACTGAGTTCTCATTGCAGTTCAACTCCCTTGAAAACTCACTCCTTTTCCTTTTGAGTCTGCAAGTTTAGCTTAAGAGATTGATAGAAGTGTGATGATGGCTCTATTTAATGATCTGAAACTATTAGTATAATTACAGCCAAAAAGAAAATGTAACATGTAACTGGAGGGTTTTATACTGTTCCATGTCCTTCAGTGAGACTGACACTAAATCACTGTGAATTTAATCTTTGCTCACAAGCAGAACCTGTGCTGAGCTGTCTTGAGTGACCACTGCTGGGGTGAGCAAAACACAGTTGCTATGAAGAGACAGGTTCCTAACAAAAGTGGCAAGGAGGTGTGTGCAGTGTATCTGGGACTGCACACACCATACTTGGTGAGCCATTAGGTTGGGAGTCTCCTTAATGGGGAAAGGGAGGATTCTCAACTGGGATTTTGTGGTCTTGGAAAGGATAAACTGGTGTGCCCATTTATGGGAAGGCCCAAGAATGGTTGACTTCTAAAGCTATTTTGTTTCAGGATTAAAAGTCTGCTTTCTCCTGTAATGAGTATTTAACAGACAAGACTTGTGTTTGTGGATAAATGCCAGGAAATCTTCTCAAGCAACACTAACAAATTATGCCATTTGGCAATATTAGTGGATGGGCAGTAACCTTTTCTCGAGAATTTTTAGCAGATAGATTTAGTGTCAAAAAACCCCATAATAGGCTGTAATATCTTCTCCAGTCTATCAGGTTTGTTACCAACTTTTAATGTATGCCTTCTACTCATTGAATTGAAAGACCTTATTGATCTCATTGCAGCTGAACTGATTATTGGGGTAAGAGAGAGACTTCCTGAAAGAAGGCAAGAGAAATTATTCATTTAACATATTCTTATTTTAGTAAACTTCCATTTAACCTCCAGGGTTAATGAAAAAAAAATTGCTGGTTGGCTGGCATGAATTTATTAAATCAGACAGAAACTGAGTTCAGGCTAGTACATTTAATGTCAACGTTTGTAATAATCTTAGGGGGAAAAAATCCGCACAGATTTATTAGTATTGCAGAACTGCTTTATTTTAAAACAACAGCCATAACAGCAAAGGAACCCAGCAAGGAAAGTAACCCCCAAAATGGAGACACATTCTGTACCTTTGGATAGTTCAGAAATACTTAAATAAAGTATTGGGGACTTCGTAGGTCTGTGGTTATTGGCTGAAATCCTTTAGTCATCAGGAGGCATTAGCTGGCTGGTGTCTGTAGCTTCTTTGAGTTGGTATTAGGGGATTTGGTCTGCTGTCCAGAGGTGCCATGGTTCTTCCCCATGTCTACAGAATGAATGTTGCATATCAGAGCTGGCATCTTTGTTAGTCTGAACAGAGAGCGAGGATTAAATAGGCCTAACAGCTGAGGGGATTTTCAAAGGCATGAGTGGTATTTACACATGTATCTTCTGCTGGTTTCTGTTGGTTTTCCAGACTTGCTTTCAGATTCCTGGTTTGATGTAGGTCTGTCATCCCACTGCTCTACTTGACCCTGTTACGGACAAGCTACTTATGGGCGTTTGATGGAGATTTGGGGAAATTTTCAGAGATACAAATGTCAACACCCAAGTTACATCGATGAGATGGAGAAGCCCATTCTTGAGGCTTGAGGAGTTAATAGAGAACCATCCTGGAGAAGGTTCTGTTTTGTCATTCGTTGTGTGACAACCTTGGAGGTGAGACTGGGTGGCATAAAAAAGGTGCAGTCTGACATTTTGAAGCTGGGCTCCTCTGATCCTGATTTGACTTTGTATGTGAAGCAAAGAGGAGTGGGGCTGGAACATCCTATGAAGCAGCAGTTCAGGAGAGGAGAAGCCTTTGTTGGAAGGACTCTATGAAAAAACAAATGAGTACTAAAATACCAAAGTGCAGCTTCGTGACAAGTTAGTTATTGTTCTGTGCAGAATAAGTTAAACTATGTTTCAGAGAACACAAGGAGGAGTGTAAAAAGTCCAGTACTGGATTTAGATAGAAAGTGCTGACACTATTAGCTGGGTGGTATTTGTGCAGGATTTTTATTGGAAGCCAACATCATAAAGCTGTCCATTCTGTCAGCCAGTTTCAGGGCAAACTTTTTCTCCTCCCTCCTGCCATCAAATTGAGGTGACAGGTTTCTAAATGGTTTTCTTCTGAAATGTGACAAAAAGTATATTTTTGGCAACTGATCTTGCTTTGTGTCTTATGTGATATTTTGTCCCTCCTGGCCTGGAATATCTTCTGTAGTTAGAGGCTTTTGAGACATATTCCCTCCCTCAGAATATGGGGAGAAATTCTACCGGGAGTTTTGTTCCTGTGGAAGAGCAAATCCAGTCTTTTACCAACTACTGCAGTTTAACTGAAGCAGCAGGAACTAGCAAGGAATGCTTGTAATATGGAACATATCATGTATAGTAAAATGTCATTTTCAAGTGCTTTCTGAGCTATCCGTCCTAGTAATGAAGCAGCTCTGAAACATCACATGACTTTCTCACAGTGTGTTGCACTCAGGATAACCTCACCTTTGATCATGATGTCACTTCAGATGAAAGACTCGCATGGAGAGTGGTACGTTGTGCATTAGGATCGGCAGATATCTTCTGGGATCTGAACAGTGAAGGACTATTTGAGATGTGCACTCTATGCTTGTCAAAGAGAAGTAAGTGCTGCGATAAAAATAGAATATTCAAACTCCCCTCAGCCTGGGTAGAAGGAGGACTTCACCTTTATGCAAGAAGACCTGCTTAATCTGAAAGTTCTCCTAGAAAGGGTTTTAAGGGTGAGTAATCATTTTTACTGTCATTCAGTCCAGGATCAGATCAGTGATTTCCCAAATGAGTAGGTCCAGGTGGCCCTGCTTGAACAGGGGTCTTGAACCAGATGATCTCCAGAGGTCCCTTCCAACCTCAATCATTCTGTGATTTTGATATCTTGATATGCCTACCAATAGAAGTGAAACAAACACCACAAAACACTTTCTTCTCCTTCTGTTAGCACCAGCAGCCCCCTGCAGCAGTTTCAATGAGCTCTGTGGTACCTTTATAAGGCTTTTCTCTCGTGCCTGGGAGTTTTGTGTTTGGCACCTTATGTCCCAGTTGAGCTTTTCTAGTGAATTTAAAAGCAGAGTTACAGCCACACACACCGTGGTCCAGAGATGGCAAGAGGACTTCACACACAAAACATCAGCTGGCCTAAGCAAGCCGGTTCAGCTTCCATGGCAGTACCTGCTGGAAAACTCTCCAGCCACCAGAAATAGCAGGCCATTCCTGCAGAGGCATTTTTGTTACCCTGAAGCCTTGACCAAACACATGTGGCCAGAGATGATGTTGGGGCTGCGTCCTGTTGCAGCAAATGCTTTCCTGTAGATGTGCTGCCCATTTTGCTTTGGCCTTGCTCACCCCTCCTTAGCATTTGCTTTCAGGGAACGTCTGAGTGATTGAGGGTGAAGGCCTGGCCCCATGCAGCTCTGCCACCTCCTTCGATGGAGTCAGTATTTCACCCGCGCTAACGGTGACAGAGACTGAATGTCAGAGCTGCATGCACAAGCTTTCACAGAAATCAATTCTCACATGCAGCATTAATACTGGAAGTGCTTTTCTCTCACCTAATCGTTGGTAAGGCACAATAACCTGTGACTAATGGCCATTTGTGGTTATACAGCACGGCCTGATTATAAATATTTGCCATTAGTCTGTAACAAAAAAAAAATCTCAGGCTGTTAATTGACCAACATGTATTCCTGAGGAAATCAGAGTAATCAGATGGATATTCATTGCACGGAAAAGGAAGGTGCAGCCAGCTTGTGCATTGTTTTTATGATTCATCTGCTTTTGATTATTTTTTCCTCATGTGAGGCCAGTATTGTAAATCAAAGATTTGAGAAATAACCCTGTGCTTGAAGTGACCCAAATTAAAAGCCAATTGCCACCTTTCTTCTCTTACTAGGCAGCCGTCCATTTCTGTGCAGGAACAGACATATGTTAAAGGCTGTCATGCTGCTGCAGAAGCAAACCAGTGAGCTCATGGGCTGCCTCTGCCAATGGTTAAGGTCAGCTACTGGAAAAAATTACAAGACAGCTATTACAGCCAGGTATGATCCTGCAGAAGGGCCTTCACTGAGAACTGTTACTCTTTGCTCAATTTTGTGCAAGTCAGTGAGACTCTGACCTGGAAAAATTGCTTCTGATTCTCAAAACAAGGACAGCAAGGTGTGTGCAGGTCAGTTTGGAGATTGTGATTTTTTTTTTTTTGGCCATTCAAGTTTTTCAGTCATAAACTGCTTTTTTTGTTGACAAATGGGGATCATTCCTGAAAATGGTCAGGACAGCTTGTCCATGTGGTAGATTTTCTTCTCCTTCCCTACCCTTTAAAGCATTACAGGAGCTTGAGCAACAATCTTCCTGGCTGACATGAAGGGCAGAGGCACCAGTCTGATACAGAGGATGCAGTGTCACCACTGCAGCCCAAGGAATTTTCAACCCTTACCTAAACATTGTGACACTCTGGCCTCTCCACTCTGGTCAGCTGCCTTCATTTGGACAGACTTGGATCTAGTTACAATTTTAACGAGCGGAGCTCAGAAAAGTTATTAGTGACTGTAGGAAAAAAGCAAGTGAGCAGGCCATAAATCAGGCCATCGGATGAATTCAGAACGCACTAATAAAATCAGAGCTTCCAATAAATTTCATTTCAGGCAGAGTAGAAACAGTTTCTCAGTCGAGAGTTCAGCACAGATTATAATTTCAGATGTGTGTCTGGCCAACTCAATATGCCTACAAAAATGTTTGCAAGCAGGCAGCAATGGCTGGTCCAGAGTCAGGCCCTCACACCAGCTGAACTTTAGTAGGATTGAATAAAAAGGTGAGAATCTCTACTTCTCTGAGCAAAGCTCAGTCTAATTAAATATTTAATGTGTTTTTTTCCCTCCCAAATCCTTTGGTTTCTTGCTCTTTCATACTGTGATATGATGACATTTGAACAACAAATGCAGTCTTGGTACGTTGGTCTCCTGGTACTGCTTTTTATATGAAAAGCTTGCACATCCTAGCTGAAGTCCAGATGCTCCATTTATGAGGTATTTTGTCGTGATCAATTTTTAAAAAATATTTTTCCATGCCATGAAATTAATAGGCACCCAGGGAAATACCAACCAACTCCTCCCTACTCCTGCAAATACTAACCTTTCCCAGATGGGAAGGTATTTCTCCTTCCCTTTATTTACCTGCAAGATATCCTTGCTGGTTCTCAGAATCACAGATAGAGAAGGAAACATTAAGTGGAAAATGCTACAAACAGACCAACTGCACTAAGAACACTGCATTCTGAGGAGCCATTTACTGCATAAACCCTGCATAATCTTCCCAGGGTCACAGAGTGAGTCATTAGCAAGACAGCACTAAGACAGAGGCATCCTGATTTTTCTAACTACTCTGATTACTTTAAGACCCCAATTTAAAAGGCCATAGGTTTGTGCTGGCAGCACAGTCATAGAGATAACTACTCACGATTTTACAAATTGGTTTTCTTGCAATCATCTCACTAGTGTGGGCCTGCAGCCCTTTTGTGTTCTGTTCAAAATTATTTTTTTCTATCAAAACCAAAGCAAGGCAGAGATGAGCAGCAGCCTCTTCTCTGCTGCCCCGTGCCCACAGCAGCCCTGGGTGCTCAGGCCAGCTCTGTGCTCTGAGCCTGGGACCTGCCCTTGCCAGGATGATCCTACCCACCTGCATCAAGCACCCTTTGTGTGCTCATCAGCTGTGGCCATGAATTGTTCTTCCAGAGAGACTTTAGGATGCTTAAAACCAACCAATTGACCCAAGAGAGCACTGGAGGAGAAAAACTGAACCTGTGTTCGTTTCTTTTCTTTCCAAGTTTTCCTTATTGCTGCAGTTCCCTTCCAGAATGGGGTGTCTGTAGGTGAGTACTTTGGCATCATCCTTGGAGACAAAGCAGTTTAGAAGCTGCTGGTATGGCTGCTTAGCCACTGGCTGCCATGTTCCCTCTCTGTTAATAAAGGGAGAGGTTTTCTTGTATTTATTTTTTAAAAAAATGGTAAATATTTGTTTTCATAGACTTCTGTGGTGTTTGCAGCCGTCATTGAGCTCAGCAGATGTTTGGAGAGATGATGGTCTGGCCACACCTGTCCAGCCACCGCATCCCTCTGGTTACGGGAAGGCTGGTTCAATATAGATCAAAATACGTAATTCTGGAAAATGGTCACTTGGCACATTTTAGATAAAATACAGACGTTTTCTGAACACAAAAAAGTATCCCAGGATTTGCATTGCAGATGCGCATTTATATGTCACTAAAATAGAAATTTGTAATTTTCTAATGACTTTTAATGCCTGACTAAAAATGACACAAGTAGATGTGTGCTTCAAATGCTACAGACTCTCCATGAAAGGACCACCTTTAGCCACACTGGCTGACACTTTGGTGTCAAAGGCATCGTTAATTTTAGTGGAAATTAAGTGGAAAAGCAGCACAGGCTTGCAGCATATGACAGCTGTATGTCTTTGATGCTTCATTTCATGTATAAAGACATCCAATGAAAAAATATAATACACCAATAAAAAAAAATATAAATTTTCTTTGGCACTAGAAAAATATTTATTGAGCCATTATAGGTTTGGGAGGCATTTTTGGCTTTTTTTTTTTTTTAAGCACCATACCTTTTTTTACTGTAAAAGTTTTTTTTTTTAGTAAGATAAAACTAGGTGCCATTGTACTGCTAAAACATGGGCAGCAATTTCAAATGATTAATACCTTGACAGCATAATCTCATAGAAACATAGTTTTTATCCATTATCTAAAATGAAGTTTTAATTAAAAGAGTACGTTATAGTTGTTTTCTGTTACTAAATTATCTTAAGATCAAGTGTGATGTTGGCACATACTAAATATACAGCATATATTTTTCTGCTGGGCTTTACTGTCTGCAGGAAATGTGAATTTCAATTATTAAGCATTAATAAGTATGTAGGAATGTCCTGCAATTAATTTTACCAGTAATTAGCTCTATCTTTTGTAGTCTATATTTTAGAAGGAACACGCTACCATCTTACAAAACTGTGCTGCATTTGCACAAAATTGATATTTTTTTTACCTTAATAAGAAAGGTTTGCCCAGGTGAAACCTGGATCAAGCTCCAGTAAAGGCTTCATATGGGCACATGGGCACATTTTCAAATTCAGTGCAACATGTCGGTGTGCCATGTGGGCAGCCCTGACTCTGTCCTGTGTTCTGCCACTGCACACTGGTTACTTGGACGTTTTATATTCACCTCAGGAGGCTGAAAGTCACCTACAGACCCTCACTGCTCCCCAAGAACAGCGTGTAGCTGCAAGGAAGACGAAGGACTGGTGAGTGTCACCTCCACCTCCGCAATTCCCGTACGGCTGATGAGCGGCGGGATGGCTCCGTGCCTTCCTCACTGAACTACTGAAGGTAAGCAGAGATTTTTCCTCCATTGTAATCCCAACCACACATCTAAAACCAGCTGCACTAATAATGAAATTACACTCTCAGTACATTGGAATATTTTATTTTGACTTTACATGCGGTGTTAAAAACCCAAAGAACGTATTATTTACACATCCACAATACAAGTTTACAAGATATCTATACATGTTAAAGTACTCTATAGTATAGAGCAGCTTCATTTTAGGGTTACTTTTTTTATGCCGTACCATTAAAAAAGATACAATCTGCGTTTACCTTTGCACAAATGGATAAAGCATCTTTTATTATTAAATTAACAGAATAAGGACTAGGTTGAATGTTAGAAATTTCAACATAAATACTGAGAGAACTCACATTACCATCTACAAGGCAGCACAATGTTACAGGAGGTTATCAGGGTTCACATACATTTATCTTTCGGGTCACACAAGTCTGTATTAATATTTGTAAAGTGAATTCGGATCAGTTTGTGTCTTTTGACAAAGGAGTACATTTTAATAGTTATTAATCTGTAGTGTTTTAGTTGCAAGACAGAAGTGTTTAGGAAGAGAGATCATTGATTTTTGGATCCAGAGGTCTCAGGAAATAAATGTCCCTTACAGCCTTACAAGAAGAAATGACTACTTCTATCCTTTATTCTTTGTTCTGTAACAGAGATCCAGTTTTTTAGTGACTAACCTTTTCTCCCCTTTGAACACATAATATAAATCTCCACCGTCTCTGAAACCCATTGCAGTTATTTGTCCCACTAATTCATGAATATTCCTCTGCCATGGTTATTTCTATAGTTATGTTCAATAAACAATGTGGTAGTGTGTAGTTTGCAAGCTAAAATAGCCATCTGTGTTGAACATCAGCTGCAAGTGGATACTGTAAACCCTACTAAATAGCTTACACAACTTTAGCAGGTGTTCCATTACCCTAGAAACCTCATTTGATTTCACATTATAACTGTTTGATCCTTCAGAGAGCTGGAGTGGAATGTTTATCATGGTAAGGTGATTTAATGCTGCTGTCTTCTTGGATTGTAGGCTGCCTTTAGTTACCATTAATTATTCTTGCTTTTTATCCTTTTTTTTTTTTTGGGTGCTGTTGAGAGGTTTTACAACTGGCACTCGGGAGATATGTGCTATAGTGAGAACACTTGACAGATTTAATTTTTTTTTTTTTAGTACTTTTATCATTTGCATGAATAAGGCACAAAATGCACAGATTCAGGTAAACTCACACATAATATTTACAGAATATTGTCATTACCTGCATGACTTTGGAAAAAAACAAACCTTACTTTACACAACAAAAACAAATTGATTGCACTACTGTTGAGTTTTCACAGACTGCTTCTGCCAGGCCAATTAATGTTTCTTCTTTTTTACTGACAAGAGTCTATCAGCGTGTAGGGCATAATTAAATGCAACAAAAATGTAACCTTCTCCAGTTACACAGGCGTTTGTCAAGTGAATTGATTAGTAGCTGCCCTCAATGAGAAGTACAGGGGCTCAAGTTCACAGTGGCCAGGTATTGGATGGAGGCACTGTGGAAACACAGTAAAACTCCCCCGTTCCAGCCCAAAACACTAGATTTTTGAAATGCACAGCTCTGAATCAATAGCAGCATAACAGAGTTATGAAGAATTAAACATATCTGCACTCTTTCACCGGGTGACTGTTTCATCAAGGCGTTACCGCTCAGGAGGCTGTCAGAGATGCGCAGTTCATCCTTAGCTGGCTCCAAACTGAACCCAACGGGCTGCAGAAGGCAGAGTCATCTGTTTGTTCAGTCATGCTCAATGTAAACAATTCCATAGCATAAAAGATGCAATGGGAATCTAAGTACATCCTAGTGTGTACAGTACACACGCACATCCACACACACGCACAGCTTATCTGTGGCAAAAACAAAATGCCACACACATGGAGAGAAAAAAAAAATAATGCTACAGTTGGGCCAGAGACTGAATTCCAGCAAATTGATTATTAACCCAGCTATTCATTGAGACATTACCATTTTCTGACATTTGTGCAAGAGGCAAGGTGAATGCATACATAGTAAAATGTTCACATTTAATGGGAATGACCACACTTAATGGCAGTCTAAAATGGAACCCATTTTTCAAGTATTTGCTTACTGATTTTTTCCCAATAACTGTTTTTAGCTATTTAGAACAGTAACGTAGCCCCCACCCCATTGTGCTACATGTCTCCTTAGCTCCAAACAAAAGAAATGTAATGACCAGCACTTTCCTTTGTTCTTTTGTGTTTGCTCGTAGCAAGTACATGAAGTCTTGCTACATACAGCTACACGTGGCAAGACACAGATGTTGCTGAAGTAAAGACAGTTTCTTTGGCCACTTTGTTCTCCTTAATAACAAGCAAGTCTCTGTCTAATGTGTCTACCACAACATCATCTCACAACCTGTACAGGTCAATGCCACACTCATTTTAGCACAGACATGTCCTAGTAACTGTATTTGTTCAGTGGTCTGACTGAAGTTGTCTGAGGAACGAATGAGGGTTTTGGTGGCACGTCGGGTTTTAAGGAGGGTGTCCTCTTTATTCCTGTACGAGGAAGGGTGCCGTTGCTCGTGTAACTGCTTTGCCTGGACAAGGAAGGCTGGAGGTGAACGCTGACAGGCGTCCCTTGCATGTAGTCCATCTTTGTGCCTGCCGTGGGGGTCATGTACCCTCCACGATTAATACTTGGCTGTCTGGATAACAAAACACCATTTGGTGAGTTTAAGTTTTTAGGAAGGGCAGATATCGAGTGCCTTTGTGAAGAATTTTTGTGATAACCTCTCTGCCTTTCCAAAGAGGTCATTGGTACTGCAGGGGTGGTGGGAACGTCCACTCGTTTTGTGGGACTGTTTCTTGGAAGAGTTGATGGAGGAGAGTATAAAGATGCCTCCCTGTTGGGAACCTTAGGTGGGATCTCAGACATATTGCCCATTGGATCCAGCATTAAAGTCTGGTGGGCCACTTGAATATCTCCCATAATTGCTTTGGGATTATTAGTAGTTTCATTTAAGTGTTTCAGAAAATCATTCAGGGTGTTCCTGGAATCAACAGATCTCCTGTGGTCTTTTGCTGGATGGTTTTGTAAGTGGATGATCAATATGTTGCATCTTTTTGTCTGCCTTGTGCGCATTAGAATTTGAGAAAGATGTATTGTAATCATGGGTAGCATTGGGAAGAACAATAGCACTGGGAATATGTCCATGACTTAGAGGAGAGTGGGGTGGAGGACTGGAAGGAAAAAACTGAGGGCTTTTTAGTGGGGTTTCCTTCCGTGAAGCATTGAGGTTACCATGCGCTTTGTCCGACTGGCTTTTCATAGCCTGCAGAGTCTTTTGTTGAAGAACTGGTGTAGATTCAGGAGTTGGAAGTGCAGCTAATTCTGGAGGCTGTCCCCTGTGGTCCATAATCATGGACTTTGTATCACCATTTGGAGGCAACTCCTTCCTGCTAGTCAGCAGGTTTGTGTACAGTTTGGGTGAATCAATGTTCTGTTGATATTCCTTGACGGGACTGTCAAACAGCCCATTCAGTTTGGCAAAGCTCCCACTGGAGTCCGTGCAGGACTGAGCCGATTCTGCATCTTTGTGTATTTTTCTGGATTTCCGTACAAATATATCCCGGTAACAGTAAACGGCCACTCCCGCAATAAAGGCTCCCAGGACAAAAGCGGCAAAGACACAAGTGATTAGGACATTCATATGTACCATTTGGTTGGACTCTCCTGATTGTACTTCCCACCTTACACCTGCAAAAAACAGGCAGGACATCATAAATCTACAGGTATTCACACTGACACATTTCAGAAGATGACAGCCTCCCTCAGGGAAGTGTCTACTCAGTGTTTGTAAGTGCTCTGGGTGTTGTGTTGGTGTAACTCAGTAGGATTCTGCAATTCACACCACTGGTGAATGCAAATAATTTTATAAATAAAAATGACTGTGTGAGCATTGACCAGTCTAAATGAAGACTGTCTATCTGCTTTGATAATAAGGTATTCTTGTCGAAGTTTCTCTCTCCTTATGTTTTGTTTAGCCTGTCCCCAAATTTCCTTTAAGGCTCACAAGTAGGGGCCTTATGTTATTAACATTAATGATTTCTGCTGGAAAATTGAGGTTAGAAGGTCCTACTGGGCCAGACAGCAATTAATAACTCATGGATGGATTTCTCTCTCTTTTCTGCCCAACTCATAAATCAGTATCAAAGGAGAGACAGGATTATGCAAATGTTGTGTAAAAATGTACAAAGTACATACTGCATTGTTATAACCATGCTACTGTAATACGGTGCAAAACTTGTGAACTACTCCACCCCCATGTTGCTGGCCCCGTAGTGCACACCTGGCACTATATTAATGTACAAGTCTTGAAGTTCAGGATCATGTGATTCTGTTAGAGCACTAATTTTTATTTCTTTTTTTTTTTTAGCCAATAATGAACATAAATACTTACATAACATAAAAAAAAACCAACTTGCAGGGTAAGTCATTAGAGAATGTTAAAATTTAGAAACTTTTAGCTTAGACTAAGAAGTTGAATATTTGATTAATTTTTTTATTTGTGTATTAACAAGCTCCCTTTGTTTTTTTTTGAGATTTTAAAGCAACCACAGACATCTTGCAGCTAAGACAATGTTAGTTTTTAATGAAAGTAATTCTGTTGCTATCCCAAGAGATGTTAGAATGAAAGAGCAAGAGGGAAGGAACAGATTTGCTTTTTGTTAGAGGCAAGGCCTTTGAACATTGTTAATGTTCAGGGTTACAGGTTTTAATGGCACTGTGCAGAAGAAGAAGGAAAACATGAGTAAAGTTCATTAATAGCTACGACACAAAATGTGATTCAGAACCAAGAGCAAATGATAATAAAAACTTAAAGCAAAACGGAAAATAGCTGCAACAAATTAAAATGACAAATGCACTGCCATAATGGCTGATAGGAAACCTGATATGTTTTGGTGAATGGTAATAAAACACAAATGGTTTTTGGCTGGTGAGATTTTTCAGTAAATACAGAATTGTGCAAACATGTCTGTCACCTCACTGTACTGTGCACTGATGGAGAATTGTGTTAAGTTTTGGTTATTGGATTGGAAGCTTCTCGATTCTGTGGTTGACTGCAATAGTCCTACTCAATTAAAGTCTCTGTTGCCATAACAGCCTAATCAAAGGTTCACTTAGCTAAGTGAACAGAAGGATGAACTACAGGCAGAATAGGTTTCTTTTTGTGTTTAGCTAAAAATCTCTGCGTGTCTCAGTATGTACTGAGACCATCTGTAAACTGATGCTCATATCCAGAGAATAAAAATTCAGCACATTCTTACTCTGACCCACGTTCTTCAGAAACATGCTCCAGGCAAGCAGTGTTTGGGATATGCCCCATTTAACACACGAATCTGTCACTGAGCTCTGATTTGTTTTCTGTTTCCCCCCCACCTTCAACCCAAATGAAAAAACCCAAATGAAAAAAACCCAAACATAAGCAACCATTCAGGAGGACTAATAGTCTTAACCAAACTAGACTGGTTTGAAAACAACAAACAGAGGTACAGGCAAGTCTTGAAGGTAATTTTTTTTTAATGCATCCAGAACTCCCACTGATTTCAATGGGAGTTTTGAAACATCCCAGGAATAAAAGGCTGAGCTTATTATCTGTGTTTCTCATTATAATCTCTAAGCAGCATTTTGTCCACAGGATAAGTATATATGAAAAACATGATTGCACTGTCTGCATATTCAGAGGAAATGGGTGTAAAATATAGCCCAACAATCATGATTGTTACGTTTAAGCCTTAGGCAATGCTGAGACTATCAGGTTTCCATTCAGCTGCAATGTATTCCCTGGTAAGGCCTTACCCTTTGGGACACCTGATAATGGATCAGAATAATCAGAAGTGTTTGGGTCATCTTGAACTACAAATTTCCGAGAGCCAGTCACTTTAGGTTTCCAGGAACCAATCACTTTAGGTGATATAACTGGGATACTTGCCATTGTGGTAATGGAAGCTGAGGAGAACTTCATGTCTGTGGTGGCAAACAGATTTTTATTAATGTGTTTCATGGCACATCTAAGCTATAACTGGAGACAGTATTTAACGGGAGTTACAAAATGTGACCCCCCTACACTCTGCAGAAGTACAGATGGCTGATTAAAATCAATCACTTCAAAACTTTAAGTATGAAAAAAGTACATTTAAACATCAACAGCTGCTAGCCAAAAAGCCAGAGAAGTCAAACATGAAAGCAGTGCAAAAGTTAAAGTAAGCAACTGTGGGGGTGAAAAGCACAACTCAGTCTACTTAATTGCTGTATTCTTCATTGGAGACAACATAGTTGGCTGCCTTTTAAACATCTTCAAAAAAAAAGAAGTTACTTGGAAAGATATACGCTCATGACAGGTTACGCCTGAGAAACCAGATCAGCTCCATTATTGTTATTATGGTATACCTGGAACTGCTGAATGAGCTATTTCTGCAGGTGGGGATAAAAGGAATGCTTTTAACCTCTATTTTGTAATGGTTCTTAAGGAATAATGTTGCATAGGTTCTGGCTCTCTGTAGTACGTTTGCTGAACAGAACCACCACAGCCTACGTGAAAACAGACAGGAGCAGGAAACACATCAAACTGGGTTTACAATTCACAGTCTAGTTTGCACACTCAAGTGTTTTGTGTTCACTGTCACAGTAGGTTTAGGCATGAAGGTCTATGGCTCAAAATTGGACTTGAGAAATGTACTTCAAAAGCACACAAATTCAGGACTTGAAAATAAGGTTCAGTTGTATCTGTGTCATAAAATATCACACTGAAAATTCAGTCAATAAACACTCATGAAGCCAGGCAGCACTTCCGTGTAACACGGTTTTGTTTTGCTTTCCTAAGTGAGTCTCTAACTTGCATTATGAGTAAACAGATGTGGAAGATATTTGTCTCAAACTTCTTGTCATGTTACAGAAGTGAAAATGTCAGAAACCAAACCACAAAATAATGTTCTTGTTTCACCCTTGCAAATTTAACATACAAATAGATTATTTTCGTATTTGTCAGTCAGAAATGTGCCCTTGGTTTGAAAGGAAAGACCCAAGTTCCAGAACCAAAGACTGGAAAATAAGGGCTGAGTCTTGCTCCTGTTGAAGTCAACACAGGTTCTGCTCTTGAGTTCAACAGAGGAGCACTCTGGTGTCCCAGAACACCAGAGGCCGACACTGGAAACACTATTAGAAAAGTCACTGGAGGAGAAAAGGATGTGAAAGTCCATCTGACAATGCACAATGTTCTTTCTAAGCCACTTTTGTCTACACAAGTTCTCATTCAGCTACACAGTTTGTGATGTTAAATTTTTTGCCATTAGCATAAACTACTTAAAGCATTTCAAAAATATAGAAATACACATTTTAGAAAATGTGTATTTGTGCAAAAAGCTTGCTGGGAAAGAAGGAAAAGAGAAAAGGAGAGGTAAGGAGGAAGATGATGAAGTTCTGCCATTCATCTACTAGAGATGACCAATAGGGGCATTCACAAACACATGGCTGGGGATAAAGAGTAAAGCTTAGTGGACTTCGTGCAGTGAAGATGTCATCTATGTTAATCAGGCTCTTTAATAAAAGATGGCTCAATAAATAATGAGCTGTTAACATGCGGCTACACAGGGTGAAGTGCTGAGTGAGAAGAGTCTGACTATCTTTACCATCAGTGGGAACATGAGTAAAAGCACAAAAATGGAGGACTGCCAACTGTGCAAAAGGAAGGAAAAAAGGGCTGAAAATGCTGAACTGAAGGAAAGTAAAGGTCATTAATTCAAAAAATTAAAAAAAACTAACCAGATGTTGGGTCGCCAAATATTTTGTAATCTGGTGTAGCTGTAGTAGGCAAAATTTCTAAAAGAATTAAAGGAACAAGTAATCAGTAAAAAGTAACAAAAAGAAAGCAAAAGATCTCAAACCTGAGTAATGGAAAATAAAAACTAAAATATTACTGCTTATAAAAAATAAATTCTTCAATACTTTGCTGTAGACCCCAAATAGTTGTAAACTGGTGAAGGAAAGACAAAAACTCTGCCACCCAGGACCAAAAAGCTCAGCTTTGTGAACATTCACAGTAACACCAGGTGATGTGTTCATCATGTTACTGAAAAGCTCATCAGAAATTTAACATCCACAGTGAGGTGTGGCCACAGACTACAGTGAGACATTACAAAGGAGCAGCATCGACTGTGCCTTACCATGGCAGTCCCCAAGCTGCGCCGTGTTGCCGTACTCGACATCTTGGATGTATCCTCCAGTGCTGTGGTTGTATGAAACAAACAAAGAGAACCTGCAATTAACAGTATTAGTAAGGATACAAATGGAGATTTTTATTTTTTTTTCCCCTGGAAGCAGCAAATAGGAACATATCCAACAGCCAGTGTATGGCCCAAAGAATTCACAAAATGCACAAGTTAGCTATAGCCCAGGCTTTAAAACTCTTTGTGTGTGCTTATGCCAGGAAATAGAAAAAAAAAATCCCTTTTTTTTAGCAACTGCATCATGTCTTCTCCATTGGGCATGCTCTTGGGTTTAGATACAACGTCCAATTATACTAGTTAAACTTTGCACTGGCCTGCTACAAAGGCCTCTTTTTAAGATACAGCTGCTAATGCACCATATATTACAGACTTGATTTGTGCAAAATGCCTTTGGTATGCATATATATCACCCCAGCTCCAGCACAGAGGCACAACCTTACTCTTCCCACTCTGAATCCTGTGCTTTCATATTTGCAATTGGCTGTGCCCTGGCCGGGAGCATGCCTGGGAGGGGATACTCTGTACTCTCCTCTTTGAGCTGCTCAGGTTTGCAGGCAGCCTTCCTGCTTCCAACTGCTCTTCCTACAAGTTTGCTCGTCCTCCTGCACATGTAAAACTCCCACTGAAAGCAAGTCTTCACCCAAAGGTTGCAGAATTAGGCCAGACTTTAGCATTCTGTTCTCTTATGTGCACAGTGCACTGAAAAAATGTGTTTAAAAAAATGGAGATTTATTAACTGTGTGCAAGGGAAGAGGCACGGGATTTGAGCTCATGGGGTCTGTAAAGCATATACAGAGACGCTGGGCTAATTTGAAAAGGAGTACTTACAACATGCCTGGTGTCACTCTTCCACAAGTCTCATGGTCTAACCAGCCGCAGTACGGGTCCCGTGAAGCAATACATGCCCTTGCAAGAGAAAAAAACCAAAAAATCATGCATTTTTTACTTCCTTCCCAAGAGATGTTGGTGCCCTCCCTTTAAGGGGGAATTCAGGAATGTAACCATACTTTTTACATGACCCGTGACGCTCACACCGACTCAGAGGAATTCTAATGACGCAGCTGGAGAAGGCCACGAACAGAGCATGGTGGTCTCTGTCCAGCTGAAGGGAAATGACTCTTCTGTCCTCCTCGCTCTCTCCATTACACCTGTTCAGCAAAAATAATGGGAGGTCATTGCTTTAGTGACTGTAGTACCTTGTGCAGTAAATATTTTATTTATTGTCTGTGTAAATACTGAAAAGAGACTTTTTATATATACAAATGTAACCTACTAGTCTTTGCTGAGTCATTTTGGAAACAAATCTGTGAGTTATCAAATGCCAGCTTCTGGTTGCTATTTACAGCTAGGTGACAAATTTGCTGAACTAAAAAAAAAAATCCAAATCCATTTTCTTTGTTCTCTCAGTCAGCCTAAATATCTTGAGAGAGCAGAAGAGGAGTCCTATATTGGATGCCTGTAGAGTCTAACTGGAACATTTCCATTCCCAAATTCTTTGTGCCAGAACAAGCAAGTTTAAAATGATCAGATGTAGTTTATA